CTACCCTCCTCCACAATCACCAACACACATCAACACTTACCCACCGCAAGTACCAACTGCCACCTTCCACGCAAGTGGGAAGTGTGCATCTCGACTCGGTTCCCACGCGGCTTCGGCTGTACGGGTGATTTGAGTCCGAGACTATCCCGACACGTCAAGTGTCGTGGATAGGAAGGTTGCTGATTGATGCCCGCTCTCGGTTCACGCAGTTCGTCGCGTTTTGTGTGTGTGCTGTGTGGAGTGGCGGACTGGTGGGCTGGGAACGGGCTGAGGCAGCACCTTCCATGGCCCTTCACGCAAGTGAGAGACACGCTGTTCTACCCCCGTTGTGTGAAATCCTGGTGTTTGTGTGTATGGGGGGCCAGGTCGTGCTGTGGCGCGCGCAGTCACGGTCAGTCGACCGTGGCAGCCACCGCGCCCATTCCCCACTCCAGTTTGCCGACCGGCTCGAACGGCGGCTGGGGTGTGGGAGTGGGAAGGGAGAGTGAGGTCAACGACTCGGCGCACTTTTTCCTCACTATATTCAATCTGACGCGCCTGAAGCTATCACGGTGCGCTAAAAGCCGTGGCTTGGAAGGTTGCCAACTGACGGGGTACCTTGGACCTCCTCCTTAACGGGAGGCGGTCTGAGAGTCAGGCTGCAATGGCTCCTTTTTAATGTGGCCTTTATGGCATTCCCACCACAGTGTGGGATCCGAGCCAGGCGTTGGCGGCACGCCCAGGTGCGGCTTCGGTCGTGCCAGCCTCCAAATCTCTGCTGTGTTGGTTGAAATCCTGGTTAATGTTGTGTGGACCAGGGGGTGTGGTGGAACGCAGGGGTGAGGATCCGTCCGAGCCATCCACCTGCGGCCTCCCTCGTCTCCTGTCTTCTTGACTCTGTCTTGACACCGGGCTCGGGCGAGGGGGGTGGAGAGAGTGTAGGTAGATGCTACGCACGTCTACTGGCATTATAAACCCCTGCTTAAGTCACCGTCCCTGCTCCAACCTGCTGTGGGGCACACGGTGGACATCATCGAAATCGATGGTCGAACTGTCATGTTTCCGCCACTGCCTAAGTCGAACTCATAGACCTGTGTATGGAAACTGCTTTTTCGTTTGACCAACAGCATTACCCACAGCCGAAGGGGGCCCCCATGTGATCACCTGTCACCGGCTTCCTAGCCAAGATTACAATGCAGAAACTAGAAGACACGGCTCTTCCGTTAGTTAACCTTAAGTTTTGGTTGCGATATGTAGACGACACATTTGTGATCGTTAAAAAAGATCAACTGGAACCACCCCGCAACACGATCAGTTCAACAGTGCCGGGGACTAAATTCACACTCGAGAAATAAGTTGACATGAACTCCCGTTTTTAGAAGTTCTCGTGCAGCGGAAGACTGATGGAACATTGCGCACATCGGCGGACCGCAAAGAAACCTATGCGGAGGTTATTCTGCACTATGAGAGCAACTACCCTATTTCCCACAAACGGGGTACGATCAACAGTCTGCTTAGTCGAGTGAAAACACACTGCTCTGATGAAGAAGGCTACCGACCCGAACTAAATTACTTGCATGAATTATTTTCTTGGAATGGGTACCCCAAGGATTTTGTGCGCCGATGCATGAGACCGAACGAGTCGACAGAAACGGAAACAAGTACTTCCAGTCAGGCACTGAAGCCAAATACTTGGTAAACTCTCCCTTACATCAGGGACGTGTTTGAACTCCTTGAAAGGCTAAATCGCTAAATCCTAGTGGCACACAGACCAACGACTACCTTACGCACTCAGATAGTACACCCTAAGGATAGGGTCAGCTATTTGGATAAAAAGGAATTCGTCTACAAAATCCCGTGTGAGGCCTGTGATGCAGTTTATTGTAGTCAGACAGGGAAATCTGCCTCTACGCGCATTCGCGAACATCAACTGGCAGTAAAGAGGCGAGACCATCTGTCTCAAGTAGCTATGCATACCCTGGACACCGGACACACCTTCGCATGAGAAAAAACTCGTATCGTCAGAACTTATCCATCTAAAAAGGCCGGGAGTTTCTTGTTGCTGTGCACCCCGACGAGTCATGCATCAACAGGCCCATCGAGTTACATATCACTTACAAAAATCGCAAGGAAAAGTGGAAGAGATGGGATGTCTGCGTTCCAATTCATAGCGTATTCTGTACAGAACGACTGGAGAGGGACTTGGATAGAGTTGGTAGCCGGACGAGGGTACGTCCGGCGTCGCGAGAGCGGAGTCCCGAGTGGAGTGAGCTGGGTACGTGTCACAGCGCCTAGAACGAGGCCACTCTGATCCGGCCTTGAAGATGATTGGTCAGTTGGAAAGCAGCTGTCAGGGGGCGAAAACCAGACTGTTGTTGGTGTGCACGTGCAAACGCACGTGCGAGAGGCGCACAGCTGCAACAGGCGCCCGAAGTAGGGCCACTACAGGTTCACAATGGCAGATCTGCGCGTGGTGACGAAACTGGCAACGCCCATGGGTTGGACTATTGTCCTCGTTCGCACGCGCTGGAAAGTCCACCTGCCATCTGCACCGAAAACGCCGTGTGCAAGACGCCTTGATGTCGCCAAAGTGCGACATCCCAGCACTATTGAGGCCCTACGCGGTCATGGCGCACGACCCGGGTGGACGGAGAGGGCAGTAGCCAGTGGTCATAATTAAAGTCGCCGGTCTGTGGGCCAGCTGAGGAAGTTCTTGGATGCACTCAACGACGTCACAGTGACTGGATCTGTGGAAGAACCTTTCAGTTGTCTGCTCGAACCAGTTTCTGTAATGAGGATTCCTTCTGCCAACTCTGAAAAATGACAGAAAACATATTGAGCTGGAACAGCGACCTCCATGGAGCAGGCCTCAAACATTGGTGATACTCGAAAATTGCACCAACTTATCCGCCAAGTTAGTGGTGAGCCCTCGACACTGATCAACTCTGTTCGTCATACGAACCTCGGCTTTATTGCTGACCAATCAGCCAAGGTCGATCGCTTGTGTGGACACTTCAGACACCTTGTCATCTTTTTTGGGCAACCCATCACACCCTTGCCCTCCTCCACGTCGCAGTTTTATCTCTCTCCAACCTATATATTGTTATGCAACTGACCTTCCTCCGAATAAGTCGCTGATGTAAAACAACTTTGCTCAACAATAAGGCTCTCGGAGAGGACGGTATTCCCGCTGAAATCTACAAATCCCGTGTCGACATCCTGGCGCCAGATCTGCTATCGAGGATCATCACATGAGGAAACGTGCAGTCCGTGACATCATTGACGCCGACTAGATCAGATATCATTGCAGACGCACTCAGAACAGGTAAGCTCAAGTCATAACGCATGGTGACCAAAAAATCTTGACCTTTCATAGATGAGCAGACACCAACAACGCAAGTTTTGTCCCAGGCCATTTTACTTCCAGTTTTCAGCTTAGGTTTTCATATATGTGTGACGATATTTGAGATTCAGGCATCTTACTATGTTCAGCATCTCCCGAAAACGACCAAGAAGAGAAGATTTTATAAACGGGAATATATTCTGACTGAAGTTTCGGAAACTTCCACGTTTTCATCATCAGATTAGTGTGTTAATTCTTCAACAGCAGGAAGAATTAACACACTACTCTAATAAGGAAAACGATTAAGATTCCAAAACACAAGTCCAAATATATTTCGGGACATGAACACGTCCCTTCCTTTTCGTCTTCTTCAGGGGATAATGAACGCAGTATATATATATATATATAATGACAGATGGGCGCTCACCGATCAGGTAACAGAACATGCTCGTTCTGTTGTACCTTGGGGCTCATACTTAAACCCTCGCAGGCAATCGCACAGCAACTAGTGATATATGTTGTTAAGGTGATACCGAAAAAGACAAGGGAGACCGGAATGGCCATTTCTGGCTTAGTAGCTGTCATCAGCCAGTCATACCCAACCCCGATCACAACCGACAAAACAACGGGCCCGTGGCTCAATGGTAGAGCGTTGAACTCCATGACCAAAGATCCCGGTTTCGAAGCTCAAGTGATCCACCCTTGGGGTTGGGTATGACTGGCTGATGACGGCTAATAAGCCAGAAATGGCCATTCCGGTCTCCCTTGTCATTGTCGGTATCACCTTAACAACATATATCACTAGTCGTTAAGCGACTGCCTGCGAGGGTTTAAGTATGAGCCCCAAGGCACAACAGAACGAGCATGTTCTGTAACCTGATCGGTGAGCGCCCATCTGTCATAATTCATATTCCCGATCTCAACCGACAGGACAACGGGCCCGTGGCTCAATGGTAAAGCGGTGAACTCCATGACCAAAGATCCCGGGTTCGAATCTCAAGTGATCCACCCTTGGGGTTGGGTATGACTGGCTGATGACGGCTAATAAGCCAGAAATGGCCATTTCGGTCTCCCTTGTTTTTGTCGGTATCACATTAACAGGTGCGTCTGTGCGCTTGTTTGTGTTTCTGGTCTCAGCTGCTGGTGGTCAGGGTTATGATTGGCTGAATGAAGGCAGAATAAGCCCGAAACAGTGCTGTATCAATCTACCCACATTCTCTGTCGTCCCTCCTCGCTGCTATTATGACTTGGCCGACTTCGGCCTGGTAATTGGTTGCCTGTTCGTGACCTTTGCCGCACATACCGCCTGTTCGTGACCTTTGCCGCACATACGGCTTGTATGTCAGGAAGACCCGAGTTTCCAGTTCCTGCAAGACCGCCTCAGCCAGGTAGCCGGAGATTGGGGACCCCATTGGGGCTCCTTGGATTTGCTCGTAAATTTGGCCGTTAAAAGTGAAGTACGTGTGTAAACAGTAGTCCAGTAGTTCCATCGCGTGCCTCCTCTTAAAAGGTTTTCCTTCTTCGTCGTACCTTTTCTTCAGTAGGTCATCGACAGCTCTCATGGCCAATTCTTTAGGGATGGAGGTGAATAGAGAGACGACGTCAAAAGATACCATTATTTCGTCGGGGGCTATTGTGACGTCTTTTAGTCTTTCCAGGAAGTGTGTTGACGATACAGCTGTGTGTTCTGAGCCGTCCGTCAGCTTCTTCAAATGCTTGGCAAGCCATTTAGCCAGTCCGTATGTAGGCGTGCCTTTCAGCGCCACAATGGGCCGTAGGGGGACATTTGGTTTGTGGATTTTCGGCAAACCATAAAAGCGCGCTAGGGCAGCATCTTGGGGTTTCATTTGTCTCCAATCCTGTTCTGATATTGCCTTTTTCTTTCCTCATCTGGTTCAGGCTCTTGTTGATTTGGCCTACCAGTGCTTTCATGGGATCGGAGTCGATGACTTTATACGATTGTTCGTCATTTAGTAGCTGCTGCGCTTTGGTAACGTACTCCGACTTGTCTAGCACTACGGTTGCCCGCCCTTTGTCTGCTGGAACAATGACAATTTCTTCGTCCCTCTTTAGTTCCTTGATGGCCTTTACCTCTGCCGGCGGGATGGTTCGGCGAGGTCTGTGGGACATGATGAGGGACGCGACTCGTTGGCGAATCGCGTTCTTTGAGTCCTCCGTGGTATCAGTTTTTGAGAGTGTCGCTTCTAGTGCAGCGATGAAGTCCACTGGCTGTGCGTCTCCTGTGTTGTAACTGGATTCACTTTGAAGAACTTTAACTTGGTCCTCTGTCAGCTGTTTGGATGACAGGTTGTGGACGGATGACGGTCCGGGTGCCGTTGATTGTGCTTGTCTTAGAGTACACATTTTGTTTAGGAGTTGGGTCTTTTTCTTATTTCGCTCCTCGTTCACTTTAATAAAGATCCAGTTCTCCAGGTTTCGCAGTGTTTCCGTCTCCAGATATGATGCACATGCTGTTTTCGCCCTTTCGATTTCCTTGCTGTATTTCCGCAGACGAATGTGGCATTCGTTGATGAGGGTTCTTAGTAGGCGTCGGCTGCAGCTTCTGGCGACCTCACGACCGAAATCGTTTCTAGCTGGTGGCCTTACAGAGACGCTCCTCGGCATAATGTCTGATCTCAGGCAGTTGTGCAGAAAGGCCAATTGCTCCCGTGTAGATCCCTGTCTACAGGAAAATAACTCCCAATGCCGTGCTTGGCGAAGCGCTTCGCGCCCGGAAGTCTCATGGATATAGGCAAAAATGCTGACCCCAGGTGTTAATATGGAAGAGGAGGATGAGGCGATCTCTGGGGAAGAAGGTTTATTCATCTGACGTTTCGTGTTCATACTCGAGCACATCTTCGGAGATAGGCTGAGCGAGAAATACAGGGTTTAAATAGGCCATCTGCACTCTCACCCGATAGGTTCGTCCCGTTCGCTTCTCGTTGCCCCCCCTCTCGCGCGTAGATGGTGCCTGACGGCCTCGTATGGCGCTGGCAAATCGATACTTCGGTTGATAGAGTTCGTGTCTGATTTCCAGGCCTCAATCACTTCCCTCGCCAGTTTGCTTTCGGCTCGGCCGAGCACCTGGGCGCCGTCAAAGTCGAACTTGTGATTGTTTTCCAGGCAGTGCATGGCGACATGCGATAGTACGTCCTTTCGCCTTACGGCTAAAGTGTGCTCATGCATGCGCGTTCTTAGGCGTTTGTCGGTCATGCCACAGTAGTTGGCTGGACAGTCCAGACATTTGACGCGGTAAATAACGCCTGACGTGTCTGCAGGTGGTAGCCGGTCCTTGGGCTGCATGATTAAGCGGCGGATGGTGGCCTCCGGTCGGTGACCAACGCCCACGCCTAGCGGCCTTAGTATGCGCTCAGTGGCTTCGGAGACGTTACTCACGTAGGGCAAGACACGGAAGATTTCTGGTCTTTGTTTCTTCTCACCGTCCGTCTTCGTGTGCCTTCGGTACAAGCATTTGTTCACAAAACTGCGTGGATATCCATTGGCAAGGAAGAGGCGCCATAGGGTATTACGCTCCCGCAGCTTCTCGGCTTCTGTGCTGCAGTGTGTGTGGATGCGGCGAAAAAGGGTCCGGACACAACTGCGCTTATGCGACNAATCCAAGGAGCCCCAATGGGGTCCCCAATCTCCGGCTACCTGGCTGAGGCGGTCTTGCAGGAACTGGAAACTCGGGTCTTCCAGACATACAAGCCGAAATTCTGGATGCGCTACGTAGACGACACTTTTGTCATCTTACACCGAGACGCGAAAGACAACTTTAAAAGAGAATTGGACTCAGTTTTTCCACAAATCCAATTTACCATGGAGGAAGAAAATAACGGAGTGCTCCCTTTCCTCGACGTCCAGGTATCGAGGCAGGAAGACGGAACCCTCCAGACTGGTGTCTTTCGAAAGGCGACAGACACGGAGAAAATTCTTCATTACAACAGCAATCACCCCCTGTCGCATAAGCGCAGTTGTGTCCGGACCCTTTTTCGCCGCATCCACACACACTGCAGCACAGAAGCCGAGAAGCTGCGGGAGCGTAATACCCTATGGCGCCTCTTCCTTGCCAATGGATATCCACGCAGTTTTGTGAACAAATGCTTGTACCGAAGGCACACGAAGACGGACGGTGAGAAGAAACAAAGACCAGAAATCTTCCGTGTCTTGCCCTACGTGAGTAACGTCTCCGAAGCCACTGAGCGCATACTAAGGCCGCTAGGCGTGGGCGTTGGTCACCGACCGGAGGCCACCATCCGCCGCTTAATCATGCAGCCCAAGGACCGGCTACCACCTGCAGACACGTCAGGCGTTATTTACCGCGTCAAATGTCTGGACTGTCCAGCCAACTACTGTGGCATGACCGACAAACGCCTAAGAACGCGCATGCATGAGCACACTTTAGCCGTAAGGCGAAAGGACGTACTATCGCATGTCGCCATGCACTGCCTGGAAAACAATCACAAGTTCGACTTTGACGGCGCCCAGGTGCTCGGCCGAGCCGAAAGCAAACTGGCGAGGGAAGTGATTGAGGCCTGGAAATCAGACACGAACTCTATCAACCGAAGTATCGATTTGCCAGCGCCATACGAGGCCGTCAGACACCATCTACGCGCGAGAGGGGGGGCAACGAGAAGCGAACGGGACGAACCTATTGGGTGAGAGTGCAGATGACCTATTTAAACCCTGTATTTCTCGCTCAGCCTATCTCCGAAGATGTGCTCGAGTATGAACACGAAACGTCAGATAAATAAACCTTCTTCCCCAGAGATCGCCTCATCCTCCTCTTCCATATTAACACCTGGGGTCAGCATTTTTGCCTATATCCATATATATATATATATATATATATATATGAGCAGAAGAGGCGATCTTGGGAACCATGATTCTATTGTCCTGGCGTTTTAAAAGCAGACAAGCTTTCATTTTCGGAGGTGAGTATCGTACGACCTCACACGGTATTTATAGGAGGGGGACAGATATTAGTCATGCTAACACGGGGGAGTGGTTAGTCGGCTCTCGTGTTAATGGCCCGCATACGCACAGGGATCGTCTCTGTAGTCGCCGGGGCAGAGCGCGAGGGAGGGTGACTGCTGTCAGTCTGCCTATCTCTCATCGGGGGCGGCATTTGAACGTTGGTGGCAATCGCCCGCATTCGCCTTGACCTTAATTGTCGTGCTGGGTTGCTAGTCTTGATTGCAACCCTCTGACCGCGTTTCTCCCCGTCTGCCGGAGAAATAGTTGAAGCAACAGTATTGATGACTGAGCCTTCGTCGGGCCCGATTTGCGGTGTGGTTACGTGTAAGTCCGTCGTAGGCTCTCCCGTGTTTTGATTCACGTCCGGCCTGACTTCGCGCTTGCTCTTTAGTTCGTTGAGCTGCGTCCGGAGGGCTTGGTAGGCTGCCGGAAGGGCGACACAACAGTTTATTGAGGTTGTCTCCATGTGCCAGGCCTCGATAGTTTCCCTGGCTACGCGGTCATTGCCTCGACCCAGAGTTTTAGCGTTCTGAAAGGCGAAAGTGTGTCCAGAGTCCGCACAGTGTTCCGCCACCAGATACAATGGGTAAATTCTCCTCACTGTCCGCATGTGTTCGTTAACGCAGGTTTGTAACCGTTGGCCTGTCTCTCCGACGTATTTAGCTTCACAAGGGTTACACTGGGCCCAGTTGATGACATTTGTCGTCTCACCTCGTGGCAGGGGGGGCCTTCGGTCTCATAATCAAATGTCGAAAGGTTGAGTCTGGTCGATGAGCGATCCCATTCCCCAAGGGCCTTGGGATGCGGGAAACTGCGTCAGAGACGCCGTCGATGTATGGCAGTGCACGCCAGACTTTTGGCTGTTCTGTCACCCGATTTTGGCCTGGTTTAGACTTCCTGCTGCGCTCGATGAAGTTGCGGGGGTATCCGCTGGCCATGAAAAGGCGCTGAAGATAGCGGAGTTCTGCCCTTCTGTCATCCGGTTCGCTGCAGTGGGTTTCTGCTCTACTGTAGAGAGTTCGCACACAGCTGCGTTCGTGACATAACGGGTGTTTACTGTGATAGCTTAGGATTTGGCGCGTGTTGGTAGTCTTCCTGTACACCGTCGTTTTTTTGTGTCCGTTGGGTTTTCGATGGATAAGAACGTCCAGAAACGGCAGCAGGTTGTTGTTTTCCGCCTCCATCGTGAATTGGATGTCTGGAAAAACGGAATTCAGGACACCGTGAAATTCCTCGATCATTTCTCGCTTGATGATGATGAAGGTGTCGTCGACGTACCGAGTCCAAAACTTTGGCCTGTGAGTGGTGAAAACCAGGCTCTCTAGTTTTTGCAGAACTGCCTCAATGATGAAGCCGGGGAGAGGCAATCCCACTGGCGTCCCCTTAATTTGTTTGTACATGATCCCCTCGAAGATTAAATATGTCTTCAGGCAGAATTTTAAGAGTTCGACTAGATGTCTCCGCTTCATTGACTTTTCCGTCTCGTCATACTGCCTCTCGAGCAATTCGCTGACCGTTTCGATGGTCAGGTCCTGCGGAATTGAAGTGAAGATAGAGGTGACGTCAAATAACACCATGACCTCGTCTGAAGTGAGTCGCGTTCCCCTGAGCCGTTCCAGAAACTGAGTAGCTGAACAGACCGTTGTGGTTGCGCCTGAGGTGAGAGGCCTCAGGTGTCGGAACAGCCGTTTAGCCAGATTGAATTTGGGCGTGCAACGAGGTGACACGATTGGCCGGAGGGGGGCATCGACCTTGTGAACTTTGGGTAGTCCGTAGAACCATGGTGCGGCTGCATCTGTTGGTTTAACGGCCAGTCGTACCGAATTGCTTATTACTTTGTTCGTTTGCATTTCAGCGAGCGTTTTGTCCAACTACGTCAGCAGCTTCCTCATCGGCTCATCATCACATCGGAGGTAGGCCTGTCGATCATCCAGCAGTTTTTTAGCCTTGTGAATGTAGTCGGTCTTGTCCAAGACAACTGAAGAACGCCCTTTGTCTGCTGGCAGTACCACAATGCTCGTGCCGGCCCTCAGTTTCTTGAGGGCATCCTGTTCCTTTCTGGTGATATTTGCACGTGGTTTGTGCGCCATCACCAAGGCAGTTACCTGTTGCCGAACGAGGTGTTTTGCTTCATCGGATTCCTCTGTTTGGTTGAGAATCGATTTCACTGTTGCCATGAGGTTGACCAGATCGGCGTCTGTGTTATTGAAGCAGGCTTCGTGACTCAGCACTTTTAGTTGTTCAGGAGTCAGCTCTTTGGAGGATAGACTATGGACTAGCACGTCGTCCTCCTCCTGAAACGAGCGGCTAATACTTCGAAGCTTACCTGCCAGCTCGATATCACGTTTTGCTCGTAGTTCTCTGGCCCGTTTATCAATCGCCTGCTGCAACAGCATAGTTCCGTCTTCACCGATGATTTCAGTGCATCGGCGAAGACGGAACTATGCTGTTGCAGAATATCGGCGAAACACGTGTCTGGGCCTTTAGCAAGTATCTATGTCGGGCGTACGGCATAATACCCTTATATATAAATAATGGTAGGCGGCGCTCACCAATCGTTCATACGGTACTCACTCATTCCACTGTGTCTTACTTTGGGGGGGGGGGGAATTGGTGTTCCACACTTCGGGGTTAAATATAACTGTCTGACGAAGGCTAATAAGCCAGAAATGGCCATTTCAACCTCCCTTGTCTTTGTCGGTAATACCATTTTGCATCGTTTATTCCGACTCAACGGATACCCAGTCAGCTTTGTAAAAAATTGTCTCAGGCATCAGAGACAACCACAAGGCATTGGTTCTAATGAGGGACCAGAACTTCGAAAATTCTACTCTCTACCCTACATGCAGGGTATTTCCGAAGCGATCGCCCGACAACTAAACCGGTTTGGCATCTACATTGCCCACAAGCCGGCGTCCTCTGTGCGCGCAACACTATCGCGAGTGAAAGACCCTATACCTAAAGAGCAGCAAACCAATGTCAACTACCGCATTCCGTGTGCCAACTGCTATTGCGACTATGTTGGTCATACAGGCCGACGACTTGGGACGCGTATAAACGAACATAAACTAGCCATCCGCCGACGTGACCCTTTGTCACTCGTGTTTGCGCACGCCCTTGAATGCGACCATCGTTTCAATTGGGAAGGAACTGAAATTGTTGCCATGGCGAACACCAAACATGCGCGTGAATTCCTCGAGGCCTGGCACTCTAACACGACAAGTATCAATCGGCATGTCGATCTAGATGCTCATTACGAAGGTCTGCGTGCCCAGCTCACTGACTTGCGCCCACGACCTAACAACAGCCGCTAATCCGCACTGGGCCATGTAGAATCCCACTATTTCGTAACCCCATTACATCCCCCGACATAGTGAACCGCAACTGCAATCCCTAACACCTCTACGTTGGGCTCACTGACCTCTGCCCGCATGCCAGGTCGACGACCATTAAGTCCACTGTTCATAGTTCCATTGAATCGTCATTCCCTCCCCCTACCCTCCAACACAGCGAGTCGCAACTGTTCCCCCTTCCCTTCCCCGCCACTGATTCCAGTCCAATTATCTGTCCCCTCCCATTCATATATTATTTGCTTGCCTGTCAATGGCTGCCCTGTCACGCCAACAAATTTATTCTGACCAGTTCACTTTCTCCACTGTTTATTTCGTCTGACGACGGGTTGGTGTCACCAGCTCGAAAATTCACGAGTACAACTCGATTTTTTCAGACGAGCCTTCTATCTTCATGTGTATATGTTGTTATGGGGCGCTCACCGATCGTTCATACGGAACTCACTCGTTCCGTTGTGCCTTATGGACTCTCTCTCTAGCCCAATCAGCAGCCGCACAGCGGCGCATGATATATAGGCAGAATAGTATTACCGACAAAGACAAGGGAGACTGGAATGGCCATTTCTGGCCTATTAGCCGTCGTCAGCCAGCCATACCCAAGCCCAAAGTGTGGAACACCCGAGCCTCGAACTCGCGACCTGTTGGTTTAGAAGTCAACGCCTCTACTCACCGGGCCACGAGCCCGTTGCCTTGTCGGTTTTCGATCGGGAATATACAATGTTAGGGGGCGCTCACCGATCGTTCATACGGAACTCACTCGTTCCGTTGTGCCTTATGGACTCTCTCTCGAGCCCAACCAGCAGCCGCACAGCGGCGCATGATATAGAGGCAGAATGGTATTACCGAAAAAGACAAGGAGACTGAAATGGCCATGTCTGACTTATAAGCCGTCGTCAGCCAGCCATACCCAAGCCCGAAGTGTGGAACACCCGAGCTTCGAACTCGCGACCTGTTGGTTTAGAAGTCCATAAATATATATATATATATATATTTAAATGAGAAGAACAGACGATCTCGGGAACCATACTTGTATTGCCATGACATATATATAAATATATATATATATATATATATATATATATATGTATACATATTTAGAAGAAGAAGAAGAAGAATAAAAAGAATGATTCCTTTGAGAAAATTAACAAACTTTATTTCGAAAATTTTCGAGTCTGGTTCGCCAGCACATCTCCGGACGTTTAGTATGCTTGAATAAACAGTCAAAATTTAAACATGTCCACAAAGTCGATACTTCTCCGTCATGGCTGAGGATGGGTTAATTCTATGGGCTGATGTCACGTACTGATTGGCTGTTACCTTTTTCATTTTTCTTCAGATTTGTGTACATGGCGTCAAGATCGATGCGTCGATTGATGTATGAGTCATCAGAGTGAATGGCCTCTAGGAATTCTCAGCCGTGACAGAGCACTATCGATTTTTCGGGCATGTTTAAATTTTTGACTGTTTCTTCACGCTTACTACACGTCTGAAGACGAGCTGGGAAACCAGACTCGAAAATTTACGAAATATAGTTTGTTCATCATCCTAAAGGACTCCTCCTTCTTCGAATTATGTTTCTTAGGATGCCCATCTTCCAGTACATATATATATATATATGTTGCACTCTTAGCGAGCTGCGTATGTATTATGTGTGGTATGTGTCCTCTGACACAGCGTTCATTGTCGCCAGTAGCAAGCTGGCGGGCGGACAGTATGGGATCGAGTGAAATCCTAACCACAACAGTGAGGGTCAAACGCCCACTTGACATGCTTATATACCTCACTTCATAAGGCCTATGACGTACTGGTGATCGGTAACGTCCGTGAAACAGCTGTCTGCGTCTGGCCTGTTGCACTCTTAGCGAGCTGCGTATGTATTATATGTGGTATGTGTCCTCTGACACAGCGTTCGTTGTCGCCAGTAGCAAGCTGGCGGGCGGACAGTATGGGATCGAGTGAGATCCTAACCACAACAGTGAGGGTCAAACGCCCACTTGACATGCATATATGAGATGGAGCCGTTAAAGACAAGGGAGACCGGAATGGCCATTTCCGGCTTATTGGCCGTCATCAGCCAGCCATACCCAACACCAAGTGTGGATCACTTGAGATTCGAACCCGAGATCTTTGGTCATGGAGTTCGGCACTCTACCATTGAGCCACAAGCCCGTTGTTATGTCGGTTGTGATCGGGAATATAAATTATGACAGATGGACGCTCACCTATCAGGTCGTGAGATCGAACCCCAGGTGTTCCACACCTCGGGGTTGGGTATGACTGTCTGACGACGGCTAATAAGCCAGAAGTGGTCATTCCAGTCTCCCTTGTCTTTGTCGGCAATACCATTCTGCCTATATCATGCGCCGCTGCGCGGCTGCTGGTTGGGCTCGAAAGAGAGCCCATAAGGCACCACGTGACGAGTGAAATCCGTAGAAACGACTGGTGGACTCCCCCTCCCCATTCACTACATATATATACATACCTAGGAAGGGCATGCGTAAACACGAGGGACAGGGCCACTTCAGTGGAAGACGAACTGATGCCTGTTAATGCGTGTCCCACGACGTAGGCCTGTATGGTCAATATTACCATGAAGGCAGTTGGCGCACGGGGTGTGGTAAATGACACTAGTTTGTTGTTCTTTTAGGCACCAGTCTCTTTGTTCGGCATAATGTTACGGTAGGGAGGATGCGGGCTTGTGGGCGATGGAGATGTCAAAACGTTTAAACTGTTAGGAGATCGTTTCAGAAATTCTTGGAATGTACAGCAGTGAGCGGAATTTCCGCGGCACTTTATCTCTGTTAGAGTCAAGGCTTTGTGGCTGTTTCTGGCGTCTGAGACAATTTTCTACAAAACTGGTCGGATATTCGTCGATTCGGAATAACCGATGTAAATAGGCCGGTTCTTTCTTACGTAAGTCATCACTGCTGCAGATATGGAAACCCCGATGGAAAAGAGTGAGAGCTCAGCTTCTTTAATTGGCCACAGAATGGTTGCTTTCATAGTTAAGAATGATTTCGACATCAGAGTCTTTTTGGCGGACGCTCGTCGCAAGGTCGCCATCACTGAGTGTTTATATACTTACATTTAAAAACGGGAGGTTATCTCCTGTTAATTCTTCATAGGTAAGCTGTCTAGCCGGAAAACGCCATTCAAGCTCTGGAGTAATTGCCCAACTTCGCACCTCTTTATGATGACGAATGTATTTCCTACGTAGCGGGGCCACGTGTTTGGCTCAAAGGTCCGAAGTACACCCTTTCGCAATCACTGTAATACTAGTTCCGCAAGCAGATCAGATATTGTCGAGCCCATCGGGTGCCCTTAATTCAAACCGACAGTAATTCTTGAGACAGAGCCTAAGCCATGTCTAAAACATGCTCTGTTGGAGTGCCCATGGGGTTTCCATTCAGGCATCGAACTACGCTCTCCATTGTCAAGTCACGCGGTATTGAGGAAAACAGGGCGACAACATTGAACGACAGGAGGAAGTCGTCAAGATCTACTTCAAGGCCTTACATCTTCTGTCGGAAAGCTTAAGAGTTTTGGATGCTGTATTGCGATCCACTGGTGTAGTGCTCTAGGTGCCCGTATAACCATGTGGCAACGTTGTAAGTAGGGGATCCAATGAGTGGCACTATAGTTCTCAGTGGTGCACCTGCTTTATGCAACTTTGGAAGGCTGTAGGCATGTGCGATACGGGGGATCACTGAGGGCCATAAATCTGCAATTATCGGGGTTTATAAGCTTCAATAAAGCAAGTCCGTTCACCTTATTCTTGTTAGCCGCGGCCTGCTTGTTCGTTGGGTCTACAGCGAGTGATGCATAGGCTTCCCTGTCATTGGAGACTTGGTCTGTCTTGCTGGCGTAGTCAGCCTTGTCCAGGATGTCGGTTGGTTTCCCTTCGTCGGCAGACATAATGACTGTACTGTCATCTGTTTTGAACGACCACAACCCCTATTCCTCTTCGATCGGTAAGATTTGAAGATGTTTCTTTTGTCGAGGGAA